ATAAGAGTAACAAGAAATGTGGCAGATGAAAACGAGAGAGAGAGAGAGAGAGAGAGAGAGAGAGAGAGGATAGTTGCCGGAAGAGGCCATCATCCGAGGGAGGTTTAGTAGGACAGTGTTGAGAGAGATCTAGAGAACTTTTCTCTAGGGTACAGCGTGGGTGAGAGTGGGCGGGATACAAACCTTCCCCTGGAGAAGGCTGGCACACTTCTTTGGGAGGTGCAGTGTTCTGTTACAGTGGTTTCTCCCCAGAGTTCGAGACAGAGAGGATGAGGGGACTGGGGAAGGGCCTCTCAGGGGAGCACAGCTGCCCCGTGGTATTCTGAGTCAGGCAAGTCTGAAGAGATCTTTTTATAGCCTCGCTTGAGTCACCACCAGGCTGTAGAATGTTCCCCGCCCCCCCCCAACTTCTTTTGTCATCCCCCTAGCATTTTATTTGCAAATGAGAGGGCTGATATCAGCAGGTTTCTTTTCCCTGGCCAGGTGCTGTTTGGGGGACTTCTTTGGGTGGAGGGAGTACTGTGGGTAGGGGAGTGGTCTGGAAGCTTGTAGGATTTTTTTTTTGGTCACTTGTAAGTGTCATCAGATTATCTGTAGTATGTCTTTTTTCAGCATTCCTGCCCAACAATCGTTAGATCCTTTAACTATGGAATCTGGTTTTTCTTCAGCTGGAAAAAAAAAAAAAGTTCTCTTTTTATTTCTTCGATTGTTCCTTTTCAATTTGTTTTTTTTCCCCTTCGGAAGACAAATTCTTATTTATTCTCATATTTTCTTCCTATTTATTTTGTGTTTCATAATTTCTCTCTCTTCTATGTTCTTGTTTCTTTTTAAATTTTTTTCTGAGCTGGTGGGGGGGTGGGGGGAGGGGGATGCGACTCCTTAAATTGGTTTCCTAGTTCACAGGTTCTAAATGTGGTTTTGGTATATCCTGCTACTTAAGGCCTCTCCTGACTAGGCGTTGCTGTGGCACTCACGGTTCTGTTTCTTACGGCTGTTCCCTCGCTGCCCCCTGTTCATACTTCCTTTTCCACCTCTGCAACGTCTTCCTGCATGTCACTTTGTCCTTTGAGGCTTAAATGTCTAACTCCCAATCCCATACCCGATGGGAGGTTTAATGCCCCTCCTAGGTTTTTTTGTTTGTTTGTTTCTTTTTGATCCCAGCAGGTTTTGTATAAATGGTCCCTTCAAGGTCCAGTTTTCTTTGGCCAATCATCTCCTGACCTCACTCCTCCTTATAGCCAGCCCATCGTGGCCCGGACAAAGGCCACATCTTTCCCTGTGTTTCCCAAGCGCCATTCACCTTGTGTGGGGCTCTCTTTGCTGGAGGTGTTAGGAGGGGTGGTACCACTGCCCTCCAGAGAGCACACACTGTCCTTGAAAGTCCTGCCCCCTCCCCGTCCTGGGAGCCTGCGTGCACCTGCTTCCCCAGGTGCCTTCCCCCCACCTCCTACTGGCTCGTGCTCATTCAAGAGCCCCCTTCTCCAGAATCCTAGTTTTTTTTTTCTGTCAGTACTTAAACAGGCAGAAAAGCCATCACCAGACCTGTTTTCTCCTCAAGAGAGTCCGGGCTCCCTCTATTAAAATGACGATGTTTATAACTCAGTGCACTAATGAAAAGGGGTTTTTTTTTCAATTCTGCCTTGTGAACTCAGTCCATCTTGGGGAGAGAGAGATCTTCTTATTTCCAATTCCCAATTTCCTCCACATATGTAGTGGTCCTCATACCCCCTTTGATTTCTCTTGGGTTTCTCAGGGTTGGCAAGCAATGCGGGTTCCCATGGCAGTTGTGCCAGTTCCTTCTGGCAGTTTCCTGCCTCCTTTCCTTAAGTGAGGCTTGTGTAGAATGTATGAAACATGTAATACATGTACAGCCACCAGCAATAACGTACAGACCCCAGGGAGTGTGACTCACCATTAGCCAGGAGTAAATAACAGACTCGTTGCCATTCTCCTTTGTCTACCTGATTCAGATTCGCTTTTGTGACCCATCCGGTCCCCATACCATACTCTTGGGTGCTGGTCCCCTTACGCTGTCCGTATGCTTGTGTTAGGGCTGGTCAACCAATCACAAAGGTTCATAGCTGCTTAGCATGCAACTGGCCATGTCCAGTTGACTAATTGCACACTAAAAAACACCGCGAAAATGGTGCAAAAAGCCTGTGATATCGCCACACAACTCTTACCCTTGTTGTTGTGAGTGTAAATTGGTAGAGTCTCTTTGGAAAATTGTTTGAACCTGTCAGAGTTGGGTGTTTATATACCATTTGACTCAGAAATGCCAACCCTGGGTATATTGCCAACAGAAATGAGCACTTACGTCCACCAAAAGTTATGTACAAGACTATTCATAGCACGTTTAGTCATAATAGGCAAAAATAAGGAACAGACCAAATAGCTAACAATAGTAGGATAAAGAAAATGTAGCGTATTTACACAGTGGAATACTAGGCAGCAATGAAAAGGAACACCCCACTGCTGTGTATAATAAGGATAAATGTCAGGGCACCTGGGTGGCTCAGTTGGTTGAGCGGCCAACTTCGGCTCAGGTCACGATCTTGCTGCTTGAAGGCTTGTGAGTTCGAGCCCCGCGTCGGGCTCTCTGCTGACGGCTCAGAGCCTGGAGCCTGCTTTGGATTCTGTGTCTCCCTCTCTCTCTGCCCCTCCCCTGCTCATGCTCTGTCTCTCTCTCCCCAAAATAAATAAACATTAAAAAAATTTTAAAAACAAATAATAATATGGATAAATGTCATAATGGTGGGAGAAAGAGCCCAGGTATGTAACTGCACGATTCCATTTATGTGAAATTCAAGAGTAGGCATAACTAACCTCTAGTGATAGAGGTCAGAAGAGTGGTTGGTATTGGAGTGGGTGTTGGCAGGGCAGGAGTTTGCTGGGGAACTACAAATGTTCTGTACTTTGATGTGGGAGGCATTTGCATAGGTGTATATCTATGTAAGAGATCACAGGGGCACCTGGGTGGCTCAGTCAGTTAAGCATCCGACTCTTGATCTCGGCTCAGATCTTGATCTCAGGGTTATGAGTTCAAGTCCCATGTTGGGCTCTGCACTGGGTATGAAGCGTACTTAAATTAAAAAAATCACAAAGCTGTACATTCAAGATTAGTGCACCTTACTGTATGTTATTAACTTGAGTTTTTAAAAAGTATGATGCAATATGTTGTAACACTAGGGAAGGAAGAATTGAGAGACTTTCTCGATTTGGGAAGAAGAACACTTTCAGGGGCCAGGGGTTACCTCGAATTGCCTTATGTAGAAATCCTTCCTTTATCCTATTAACAGACATGTCTCCTCCTAGAACAGTTGAAGCTGATTTGCTACTCCACTGATGATTTGCCATTGAGTTGGTCCCTCCACACCATCATAAGCGTCATCAGGGGTACAAGTCCTTTGTCACACTTCCTGTGCTCCAGAAGCTTACAGTCTTACTAGCAGAAATAACATATTTAGAGAATTTAGTATTATTCCTTTTTCCTCAAGTACAATTTGTGAAGTGCAGAATTCTCCAGGAATTCAGGAGAAAGAAAAGTCAGTTAGAAAAGGCGGTGAGTGGGGCGCCTGGGTGGCGCAGTCGGTTGAGCGTCCGACTTCAGCCAGGTCAAGATCTCGCGGTCCGTGAGTTCGAGCCCCGCGTCAGGCTCTGGGCTGATGGCTCGGAGCTTGGAGCCTGTTTCCGATGCTGTGTCTCCCTCTCTCTCTGCCCCTCCCCCGTTCATGCTCTGTTAAAGAAAAAAAAAAAGAAAAGGCGGTGAGTGAGGAACACCTGGCTGGCTCATTCGGTTAAGTGTCCAATGCTTGGTTTCGGCTCAGGTCGTGATCTCACGGTCCGTGGGTTCGAGCCCCGCACCAGGCTCTGCGCTGACAGTGCGGAGCCTGCTTGGGATTTTGTCTTCTCTCTCTCTCTCTCTCTCTGCCCCTCCCCTGTGCGCATGATCTCTCTCTCTCTCTCTTAAAAATCAGTAAAATTTAAAAGGAAAAAAAATGGAGTGATTTCAATGAAGGAGGAAGAACTTGAGGGTTTTTAACCTGATGGGAAAACTGTCTGATAGTCTTTCATTGTTTACTTTCTTGTCCTTGTTTGACGGACCGTAGAAGACCTGCCAGCAAGTGCCGGGATAGTGACCAGCCGAGAGACAGCGAATTTGTCACATAGGGGAAATCAACCATGGAGAAGATCCCAGACTTGCCAGGAGATCTGGGTTTGGACCCTGAGCTGGCACCGGCCTGGGGCTCCAGGGACTGGGAAGACAGAATCGCAGTCAGAGGGGTGTAGGAATCAGGGACGACCTGGGGCCAGAGCTAAACTCTACACCTCGATGGAAAATAGTCTGCAGATACCCTTTGTTCGCTAGGAAAGCAGTTATTGTAAGTGCATTAAATACGGGGTATATGTGTGTAGGTGACGAGCTGACTCGAAGAGGCAGAATTAACAGACAGTTAATAATTTCTCCTCTGTCACCTCATTCATGTGCCTGCACACACACACACACACACACACACACACACACACACACACACATATACATACACACACACACACGCACATTGTCACACACCCACACATCTCTACCCCCCTGCGTGTACCCACCACCACTCCCACACACCCATAACACTCCCTACCCACACACCCACACACACCCATACACATCCCAAGCTCTGGTGCTGACAGGGAATTAGAAGTTTATCTAAAATCACCCTCCACTTGCCAGGCTGTAATGGGTGGAGCCATGTGGGTGAGTGAAGGTTGGCAGGTATCTGAAGACAACAGAAACTCACATCAGCTGGCTGAATGTCTGTGCCTCCACAAGTCCCCTCACCCCCTGTGCTCTCACAATTGCTTTTGAAAAGGTTTTCTGGCTTCAAAGAAATCAAATCAAATTCGTTACCACGCAAATTGAAATTTGCAGGCTGGAGTCATCCTAGAAGTTGTAAACATCATTTAAAAGAAGATTTCAGTCTCCTTCTGTTTCTGCTTTCTCTAAGGAGCTGTTTTGTGCTGTTTGACCCCTTCCTACCTGGAATGGAACAAAGGTATGGTTTCTAGTTTACTTGTTTTTTTTTCTTCCTACCAAATTTGGGATTGGTATGTTTGCTAACTTGTATTTATTGCTTCCGATGAAAAGGTACAAGGAAACTGAAAGCTCTTCGTGGAGGATAGGGAGGATCTCGTGAAGCTAAGATGATTTGGGGATATATGTCCCATTTTAGGAGCATGGGAGTCACAACTCAGTCAGTTATTTGGGTTCTGAGCTTGCCTCCTGCACACCCTGGCTGTCCTGAAATCCTCCCTGCCGGAGCTCTCTCTCTCCCATGCCATGTCCACTATGCCCAGCCCTTCACTCGTGACCTCTTCTTTTCTGCAGATTTCCATTACTATTGTCTCTGGCTGCCAGCAAATCTTCTTGATTTTGGAACTTGCTTCTGTGTATACATTGCCTCCTGCTTTGCTTAGGGCTCAAAAAGCTTTAGGGCCACGAGAAAGACTAAAGGGTCAGGGCTGAAGGAGCCCATGGGGGTTCAAGCCCTGAAGGGCTTGGAGTTGAGGGGTGCTCTGGACTGAGAGGTTCCCTGAATTCTTGGCTCAGAAGTGCAGTCAGCCTTAAAGTTCTTACAGTAAGATGCTGACTCCATCGGGAGATAGGTAAGATTTTGAGGGCTGGGTTGGAGCTTACTCACCATTCGCAAATTGTTTCTGGGGGGGAAGGTCACGTGCAGTACAAATAAACTTGTGGACTGCTGCCTAGTCATGTTGGGGATACTGTCTGTAGGACATTTCATTTTAAACATGTCAGTGTACCATTTGGGTGCATGCCTAGTTCTCAAGCAAACATGCGGCTGTTCTAAAGATATTCTAGGAATGCTCGCATGTTTAAATCCCAGGTTCGTGTAAAAGGTTTTGTAAGAATCGCTGTGGTGGGTCGTTAGGTGCAATGTCCATTTCTTCTTTCAGTAAATATTAATTGGGATCCTCGTGTGCTAGGTTCTTGGGGGTGCAGCAGCAAACTTACACACACACGGTTCCTTCCCTGTGTGGTTTCAGTTTTTTAGGGGGTACAGGTAATTAATCAGTCTCATAATTAAACATGCGATTATAGGTTTAGTATCTCACATGAAAGAAAGGAACACGGTGCTGTGAGACTGTTATAGCAGGAGTCGACCTTCTCTGGAGACTCAGGGAAGGTTTCCCAGTGGAGATGATTGAGCTGAGGTCTAAAGGGTAGGAGAGTAAAATACGTGAGAAGGGATCAAAGCGATATATTCTGGGTACAGGGTTGTACTTTGAGGAAATGAAAAAAGGCCAGGTGTTGTTAGGAGAAACAGCTTAGATAAAGACGAGCTGGAGGAAGTGATTAGGGGTCACTGTGGTCCAGGCCATATTAGGTACTTTCTCTTCTGGAAACAATGGCAGGAGACTGATGGATATTTGAGAGGCAAGAGAAGGACTGGCAGGATGAGATTATCTTAAAATGTCCATCTTAAATGTTATTCTGGCCATAGTGGAAAGAATGACTTAGTGACGGCAGGGTGATCGGTTAGGGACTCTGACAGTGGTCCAGAAGGGAGATAATGGTAGTTTGGGTGAGGTGGGAGAGGAGGATGGTCGTGAAAATCCACTTTCTGGGTAAAATGGATGGACTTGAATTGAATATGTGATGGCGAGAGGAAAGGGGGTGTCCGCTAACAGGGTCATGGTGGACGTATGAAGGTTTGGGAGGGTGAGATGTGCCAAGTTGAATTTTGGACATGCTAAGTTTCAAGTGTGTTTAAGATATTCTGAAGGATATGTCCAAAAGGCAGTTCGTTTACAGCAATGGCTTTGTGGCTCCAATGTGTGTGTGTGTGTGTGTGTGTGTGTGTGTGTGTTTGAGTTTGAGTCATGAGTGTTCTGGGGCCGTGGGTATGGAGGAGATCCCTTAGGAAGAAATGTCAAAAGAAGAAAATGTAGAACAGAGCCTTGAGTAACTACAACATTTAATGACCGGGTCGCGGAAGGATGAGTCAACAGTGGAAACAGAAAGTATGGGCAGAAGTGTAGGATAGAAACCAGTGAGCTGTTAGGTGTATCGAAACAGCAATCCCCAAAAGCATGTCGGACTCTGAGGGTGAGGAGAAAAACAACTAGCCGGAGACTCTGTGGGGCTGAGACATTGTTTTTCCTTTAATGCGAGAGATCTCGACAGTTTCAAAGTCAATCTAATGCTGTATGATTCCATTTATGTGTCACTTGCAAAATGGCATTAAGGGTAGAGAACAAATAAATCAGTGGTTGCCAGAGGATAGGCACAGTGGGGGTGCCATATAAAGGGGAGTTCCTTGGGCGTTCACCGAGCAAGTCCTTGGTGACAATGGAAGAGTTACGTTATCTTGATTGAGTGGTAGCTATACACGTCTATACATGGACTAAAATCTCATAGAACACACACACACCCACACATGTGCATGAAAATGGGTGAAAATGGGTGCATGTATAACTGGTGACTACGGGATAAAGTGTGTACCCGACAGTATTGTAGCGACGTCAGTTTCCTGGTTTGGGTGTTATAACACGGTAATAACAGTCCTCTTAGATGTCACTAGTAGAAGTTAGTTGAAGGAGACACAGGACCTGCGACTATTTTTGCAAATTTCTGTGAGTCCGTTTCAAAAATAGACCCAACCCAGGTCTATTTTTTTTTTTATTTTTTACGTTATTTTATTATTTTATTTTATTTTGAGAGAGAGGGAGAGACAGAGCATGAGCAGGGGAGGGGCAGAGAGAGGGAGACACAGAATCAGAAGCAGGCTCCAGGCTCCGAGCTGTCAGCCCAGAGCCCGACACAGGGCTCAAACTCACGAACCACGAGATCATGACCTGAGCCAGAGCCGGATGCCCAACCGACTGAGCCACCCAGATGCCCCTATTTTATTTTTATTTTAAGCTTTATTTCCAAAGGAAAAGTTGTAAAACGTCAGTGATAAAGATAGGAAATTGACAGTGGAAAGAGGTCCTGGAGGAATGTCTTTTTCTCTTTTTCTTTAGTATTTTGTCCTCTAGGTGAGGCTCAATTATTACTCTCATCATTATTACTCATGCATCACACACAGGAAGCACTTATCATTAAAATATAACTCAAATGGGGTGGCTGGCTGGCTCGGTTGGTTAGAGCATGTGACTCTTGATCTCACGGTCATGAGTTTGAGCCCCGTGTTGGGCTTAGAGATTACTTAAAAGAAACACAATTAAAAAAAAACTTTGGGCTTCCTGGGATGGCTCAGTCAATTAAGCATCTGACTCTTGATTTCAGCTCAGGTCATGATCTGACGGTTTGTGGGATCGAGCCTCAAGTTAGAGACTGTGACCGACAGTGTGGAGCCTGCTTGGGATTCTCTCTCTCCCCCTCTTTCTCTGCCCCTCTCCCATTTACTTTCTCTCTCTCTCACAAAAATAAATAAACATACTTAAACATTTTTAAAAAATAACTCAAACCCCCTCCAGTTCTTGTCCCTAGAAGACAATCCGGAGACAGTTTGGGGAACTAAGGCAAATGCATTGGTGTTTGACATTGTGCATTGATCTTACCTGGTGTCAGAGGTGGTCTGCTCCCTCCTGGAAGGGCGGTCTTTGTTTACAGTTATATTTCAGAGTAAGTGAGGAGTGCATATGCTTTGAAAAGCCTTCTTTATGTATGTATGTATTTTTCTTTCCAAGTTTTTATTTAAATTCTGGTTAGTTAACATACAACGCAAGATTGGTTTCAGGAGTAGAATCCTGTGATTCATCACTTACATATAACACCCAGTGCTCATCCCAACGAGTGCCCTCCTTAATGCCCATCACCCCTTTAATCCACTCCCCCCACCCCACCCCCATCAACCCTCGGTTTGTTCTGTATTTAAGAGTCTCTCATGGTTTGTTTCCCCTCTCTAACCGCCTCCCCCCATATGTTCATCTGTCTTGTTTCTTAAATTCCACATACGAGTGAAATCATATGGTGTTTGTCTTTCTCTGACTGACTTATTTTGTTGAAAAGCCATACTTAAGATACGAATTTCCCCGCTATTTTTGTTGTGCGTTATAAGGTGTATACAGAGAAGTTCATAAAACATAAAGTTTAACACCTATAAATACCAGTTTAACCCAAGTCAGTAGCTGTAGCAATACCTACTAGCACGCCAGAAGTCTCTCACGTGCCCCCTTTCCCTTTTTGGAAAATAGCTTTTTTGACATAGGATTTAAATGCTATAAAACCGATCTGATCTAAGTGTCTCAGTCAATAGTCTTTGGTGTATTTACAGAGATATGCAGCTATCGTCACAATGATTTTGGACTCTTTCTGTCACCGCAGAAAGATACCTCATGCCCATCACCGGTCGTTCCGTATTCCCCAGCCACGTCTCCACTCTCACCCTTGGCAACCACTACTCTCCTTTCTGTCTCTGTAGATCTGCCAACTCTGGGCATTTTACATAAATGAGATTCTACACTATGTGGCGTTTTATGGCTTCCTTCACTTAGCTCGGTATCTTGAGGTTCATCTATGTTGTAGCTCGCATTGGTACATCCTTCCTTTTTATTGCCAAATAGTATTCAGTCGTGTAGACATGCATGTTATGTTCACCCACGAATCAATTGATGGCCATTCAGGTTGTTTTCATAATTGCCAAATGAACGTTCGTGTACAAATTCTTGTGTGGACGTATGTTTCCAGTGCTCTGGGGTAGAGACCTAGGAGTGGAATTGCTCCATCATACAGAAACTCTGCGTTTAACACATTGAGAACCTGCCAAATTGTTTCCAGAAGTCCCACCAGCAAGTGCATGTTGGTTCCCATTTGTCAACATCCTCGCCAAAGCCTGTTATTATTTGTATTTATTATAATAGCCATCCTAATGGATGTGAAGTGCTATCTCATTGTGGTTTTGATTTGAGTCTCTCTCTCAACTAATGACATTAAGCTCCTGTTCATGTGTGTTACTGACCGTTCATGTATCTTTTTTGGAGAAATGTGTATTCAAATCCTTTGTTTTTAAATTGGGTTATTTGCTTTGTT